AACCTGCAACACCAAATGAAGTTCGACTTCTATCAAATATTTTCACTATACCAATAATAGCTTATCAACTATGATTATATAAGATTAACTAAACTAGATAAATTAAGAAAATGTCAGTCAAAAGAGCGATAAAAGTTTTACCTACTCTACGTCAGTTGGCAAAGACAAAGCAAAAGTTAAAAAGAAAGAAAATACTGGCTAAATGTCCTTGTCAGGTTTATACGGTTTTAGGTGACATCTCAAAAAACATTCTTAAAGGAAAGATAAAAGTTCCACCTAAAAGTCTAAGTAAACTCAAATTGTATAAGACTCAAATGAGATCATTGGCACGAAATAAAAGCAAAGCTAGTATGCAAAGGATTTTGAATCAAAAAGGTGGCGCTCTTCTTCCATTACTACTCAAACCAGTCTTATCTCTTTTAGCATCTTTAGTAGCCAGTAAAATAGCCAAATGAACACAGTGACCCGTATGTTGCTAGTTCCGAGGATCGTTTCAAGGATCCAACTAATGTTCTGTTAAAATCATCCATTCCAAATGACAGGAAAGTGAGATTGATCAATAATCTTAAAATTCGTGACCTTGACAAAAAAGAAGATAAACGTAATCTATCAACTATTTTGAATTCAAATCTATCAGCTAATCAAAAACAGGTTCTGATTGAAGGATTAATCGGAAAAGCAACAATGAAAGTTGATGCAGGTGTTCAAGGTGAACAAGAATTACCAGTCATTCCAGACGAATCAACACTAGCTTTTCAGACTCCTAAATCTGATCTATCACCATCAGATAATGATACAACAATGTTAAATTTAGATGCATGGACAATGAGTGATAAAACACCATCTGTTGAAACACAAAGTCTACCTACAACTCTTTTCGATTTACCATCAACAAGTAACACAACGAAACCCTCGAGAGCTAAAAGTGGTTTATCTCTAAATATTAGGAATAGCTCAAACGATCTTGAATTAGCAATAAGGAATATACCAAGTTTAGTCTCATCAACAAATAAAATAATAAGGGACGATGGAAAAGCGTTTGAAAGAAGTAATCTGTCTGATATTGTTAAGTACCTATTGAGTGAGACAGGTGGCGCTAGAAAACCTGATGGTGCCGGTTATGTTGTTGAGGTTATAAGAACTGAAAAGCCAGAGCTGCTAAAACTAATTAAAAATCCATTAGTATCTAAGAGAAAAGAGTCACAAACATGGGATCAGCTACAGAAAGCATCAGAGAAGGTTACATATCGCCGGAGAGCTCAGGAAGTTTCGGAGGAGTCAGACGACTTTTCGAGTTAGTTAAAAATAGAGCTAAATTATCACAAGTTGAACAATGGTTGAAAAGTCAAGATACTTATGTTTTATTCAAACAAGTACGTAGAAACTTTCCAAGATTACCAATACTTGTAAATAAACCATTCGAACAATGGCAGATTGATTTAATGGACATTTCATGGAATCATAAAGACAATGATGGAGTTCGTTATCTTCTTAACATAATCGATTGTTTCAGTCGTTATGTTTGGTGTGTCCCTCTCAAAACAAAAAACTCTGATGAAGTTGCTAATGCTATGGAATCAATTCTAGTTAAAAAAGCTCCTGAAAAAATCCAGAGTGATCAAGGAAAAGAGTTTCTGAATTCAAAGTTCAAGGATCTATGTAAAAAGTATAATGTTAATTTCTTCACAACAACAGATGATGCAACAAAGTGTGCTATTGTTGAAAGGTTCAATAGGACACTGAGAACAAGATTATATCGTTATCTCTATTACTATAATACAAAAAGATATATTGATGATCTGCAGAAGATTATTAAATCATATAATAATTCATTTCATCGAACTATTCAAATGACACACAGTGATGTCAACGATGATAATAAAATCCAGGTTCTATTGAATATTAGGAAAACACATCCAGAAAATAAAGCCAAACAAAAGCCATTCAAAGTTGGAGATCCTGTTAGGATAACCCAACGCAAGGGAATATTTGAAAAAGGATCAACCAGTAATTTTAAAGAAGAAATTTTTTACGTAACTAAAGTTAAAGCCACGCCTCAAGGGTATATCTATAAATTACGAGATTATGACAAGGAAGCGATTACTTCAATTTTTTATCATTATGAGCTGGCATTAGCTACTGAACCTAAGACGTATAAGATAGAAAAAGTTCTTAAAACTAGAATTAATTCAAATACTAAAAAGAAAGAATATTTTGTTAAGTGGTTAGGATATCCATCTAAATTCAATTCGTGGGTGCAAGATGTCGAATCAATATGATGAGTATTTCATCGAAGCTGTTTCAAATGCTTCAATGGATCTTTTCCCTGAAAATACGTTAACCAAGTTTACTAATCGTCTTCAACAAAACATCAACCTTGAAGGTGAATGGTTAGTTGGAATACAAGAAATTTTCTACCCAGTTGACTTATCACCATCAAGAAGTGTTATCAGTGGAGTGATTGTGTCAGCATTTGGTGAACATGAATTTCGAGTTACATTAACGGAAACAGATGATATTCAAAAATTTGTTTCAAAGTTCAATGAAACAATGGAGCGATTATTCAAAAAGAAAAAAGAAGAGATTATTATTGAACCACCAAGAAAAAAACGTTATACTCTTAAACAACTTTCCGATCTACCTGATTCAGAATATGAAATTATTGGAAGTGATAAACTGGAGGCCGAATTGAAAGACATCATGTCACAGTTAAAGGATGATGAAGTCGATAAAACAATTCCATTGAAACGTCTGGTTGAACTTAGGATCTCAAGTCTTAAAAGAGATAAAGAATTGGGTAATAAGATTAAGCAAATTGAAATTTTACACAAGTCAATAGAAACATTGAATCTTGATATCAAGAACAAAGAAAAATCCATCACTGAATTAACCAAAGCATGGTCAGACAGAGGAATCAAACTGGAATCAGCTAAAGGAGATGAAGAAAGTCTGAAACTACGTATTACCGAACTCAACAAAAAATTGGAAAAGGCTGAGAATGATCATCATGAAATGGGTGACAGGTACAATTTACTTGTTATCAAACATGATTCACTAGAAAAGAAAAAATCGAATTTCTAAAGACAAAGAGAGTCTCGATATTGATCTACAAAACTTGAATGTTGAAATCGGAACAAAAGAAAGTGAAATCGAGGTGTTGAAACAAAAGTTGAGTACAAGTGAAAACGATCAACGTTTAACTGATGCTGAAAATGAGAAAGTCAAATGTATCAAAAAGTATGAAGAAATAGTTAATGAGAAAGATAAAGTTGATATAGTTTTGAAACAAAAGGTAACAGAGATTGATGAATGTCAAAAACAAATAACAAAACTACAGGAATTAATGAATGAAAATAAAAAACTTCAAGATGAAATAAAAATAGGCAAAGCTGAAATTGCTATCGTACAGAAAGAAAAAACTGATTTGAAAGCTAAAGTCAGCGAACTTGATGAAAAACTAAAAAAAGAAGAAAAAGATCACGAAGAGATGATTGCAAAGTATAATCATTTGATTTCTGACTACAAGTCTTTAGAAGTTGATAAGAAAAGAATTGCTATGGAAAAAGAAAGTCTTGACCTTGATCTCCAAAACCTGAATGCGATAATTTCTACCAAAGAAAGAGAAATTGAGTCACTCAAAAAAAGATTAACTGATGTTGCTCACCCTCCAGCCGTTATTGCAGCAGAAATCGAAATGAATCGATTCAAACAGAAGTATGAAGATTTGGACAATGAAAAAAAGAAACTTGATGGAATTTTGCTACAAAAAAATTCAGAGATTCAAGATTGTCAGTCAAAAATCACCGACTTACAAAATGTGATGGATGCTAATAAAAAGTTACAAGATGAGATTTCAACTATAAGATCTCAACTTGATAAAAGCAATAATGATAAAACAAATGTTGAAAAGGAAGTACGTGATTATAAAACTAAATTAAGTAACTCAGAAAATGATTTAATCCAAACGAGAAAACTGTTAGAAAATACTAAATCGCAACATAAAAAAGAAGCAAATCTATTAAAGGAGCAATTGGAAAAGTTTATTGGACAAAAAAAGGTGAGCAAAGATAAACCAATAGAAAAAGATGGAGATAAGCCGATCAGAATGGAGTATTCTGGTGGATTCATTTCAATTTTGAGAGGATGGCTTGGAGGTAAAAAAACTACACCAAAATTTTATGACTCATCAGTTGTCAGCGCTCTTGGATTTTTTGAAGATCCTTCCAAACTACTTGCGGTTGAAGCAAAAGTAACCGCGCCTCGTGCTGCGGACCTCACTGCTAGGTCAAGTCTCTTATTTGTCTATTCTGATATTGTTGCTCCTCATTTTGTTGGTGATAAACTCGCGAGAGTGTTAAGAATTTTACCTCTCAAAAAGGTCAAAAACATGACATGGTCCACGAAAGATTTACTAAACCATTTTATTATCCTGTAAGAACAAATAAAATAGAAGATGTAAACTTCATTTTAACTGATGAAGTGGGTAATCCAGTTGAATTTGCCTCTGGACGAGTATTAATTGGTCTTCATCTGAAAAGATTTGTATAAGATGAAACAAATAATACATTAATAAAAATTAAAATGCAAAGAAAAGTCTATTGTCCCCTTCATTCTGATTTTAGATCATTTTACAACTCCCAAGCTGGATCAGGTTTCTCTGATATCGAAGTATTCAGAGGTGCACCTTATCAGAGAGGATATGGTATCGGAAGTCTAATCTCGAGATTTGCCTTGCCTGTACTAAAATTTTTAGGAAAAAGAGCGTTAAAGACAGGTATAAGTGTTGGTCAAGATGTGTTAGATAAGAAAAATTTTAAACAAGCGCTCAAGGAGAGAGGGAAAGAAGGACTAAAAACGGTTGCTCAAGATACATTGTCAAAAGCTGGTAATCTTTTTAATCAATCCGGTAGAGGTATAAAACGGAAAAGAAGAGGAATCAAACGGAAAAGAAAAGGGTATAAGAAGGTGAAACGACGTAAAATAGACATTTTCAATTAGTTATGGAGTATCTTCACCCATCATCTGTTCCCTCATCAAAGAGTGAACTCTCTCTTTTCAAAGTTCCACCTACTCAGGTCGCAATTGATTCAACATATGATGTTGAATATAGACCTTCAGCATCTTTAGAAAGTGCTACTGTTCATGAAATTAACATTCCAGCATCAGAAGACTTTACTGACCTATCACAAACGATGTTACATCTTGGCATTGAAGTCCTTACTGATGATAATGTTAAAGTTTCAGATGATAAAGTTAAATGTGTTGAAAATTTCGCCAACTCAATTTTTGATCAAATTGATTTTTTTCTAGGTACTGTTAATACATCACAGGCTAACAATATGTATCACTACACTTCTTACATTGAAGACCTACTCTTCCGTCATCCTACCAAAGCAGATATTAGTAGATATGATAAATCAGTTTACATAAAAAGTAATATTGAATTATACTTTAGATTACATTTACCAATGTTAACACAAGATAAATTATTGATTAATGGAATACCACTAATGTTTAGATTCACGAGAAGTCCCCGTAGTTTCCCTATTATCGCTGAAACGGGTTCATTTAAAATCAAGCTGACGAAACTTGCTATTCACATGAAACGTGTTAAACTTTTCCCTGACGCTCAAACTGGAATCATATCAGCTTTGAATAATTCAAATGCAAATTATTTCATCATAAGAAATGAAGTCAAGAGCTTTTCGTTAAGTAAAGGTCTAAGTTCAGCAACAATGGAAAATATTTTCGCTGGGATTCTACCTCGTCGATTAATCATTGGATTTGTTGAAGAAAGTGGCTATTCCGGAGACATAAAGATGGATCCATATAAGTTCGAGAATTTAAAAATAAAACAAATTTCTCTTAGTGTCGACGGAAACACAATACCGAGTATTCCATATCAACCAGATTTTCCTGATAATTGTATGAGGGAGTATGTAAATTTATTTCGTGTTCTAGGACAAGACGAAGGAATCCCTCAAATTGACTTGTCTTATGATGATTACAAAAGTAAAAAAACATTATTTGCCTTTGACATTGGTGGAGCTCTTGGTGGTGAGTCAGGATCTTTATCATTGTTAAAAAGAGGTGCAATTAGATTAGAAATTAGATTCACATCGGAAACAACAAAACAATATAAGATAATTGTATTTGCTCAGTTTGATAATTTAATTTCAATCGATAAAGACAGAAATGTTTACCTAGATTACTAATGTTAACGACAATTGATATTACTAGATTACTCAGGAAAATATCATATTTTGGTGGTGTTTATCCAATCAATCGTTTACCATTAATTTCAAAAAAACCAAGGTCTCTGATAATTAATCTTGATCCTAGTTACAGACCTGGATCACATTGGGTTGCAGTGCACTTTTATTCTAATGGAACTGCCTTTTATTTTGATTCTTATGGCAGACAGCCGGAGGGGGAAATTTTAACGTTAATCGAACGGTTTGCACCCAGAGGATATGAATTTTCAAGAATGAAGTATCAAAATGATTCAACTACATCTTGTGGTTACTTTTGTGTGTTATTTGTTATCATGGCTGATCAGAAAAACAAGTTTTTAAAGTTGTTTGAGAAATGTAAAACAGAAAAAAATGAAAAAACCTTGAGTTACTTAATAAAGACTTTTATTAATTAATCTTGAAATGCCCGTAAGCGTAAGAATTTATTTTATCGTTTAACAAATATCGTTTATCTTCAAATGGTGAGATTGCAATTTTTTCATTTTTATACATTGAAATTTTATGGTTTTCAGATCCAATTCTTCTCGTTATCTCTTTATGGCATCTCTCTTCATATAAACTCCGTTTATAGTCATCAAAACTCATTTTCTTTTCCACAACGGCTTTTTGTATTCCTTTTGCCCTCTTTTTTTCCCCTTTAGATGATTTAATTATATAAAGTTTTGGCTTGATCGCAATAACTTCGTGAATTGCGTCACCTGCCATCTCATCTTTTAAACAACCAATTTTTTTCTTATTCAAATTTGAATAAAGAGGATGAGATTGGTCCAGGTCACTGAAATCCATAATGTCCTCAAAGTTTTTCATATCATCAATCAGTGAATTGGTCTTGATCTCGAGAATGAATGAATCAGTATCAGAGTAGACCAAAGTTACATTTTCTTTATAAAATGATTTGAAACGATCATAATAAAGTTTGTAGACATGTAATTTCGATAACTCTAAAACACTAAATCCAGCAACAATAGCTTTGTCCATCAGTACTTTTTCAGGTTTTTTCTGTATCAAAACTTTATCTTCATTGAGTATTTTAAATCTTTGACAAAACGGATTGGCTATTTTTTTAGTAGCAATTTTTTCACTCATTACTAAATCAACATTTACATGTTTTCTTTTATCCTCCATAAGTTTTCCATAGATACTGTTGACAAAAAGTTTATATAATGATGATGTAAATGAGTCAACAGCTTGATGACGTTTCAATGTACAAAAGTCAATGTAAGGTTTTAACCATGCCTTTTGTTTGAATGTTATCACTCGATGAATCTTATCAACAATTAGTCCATTTTGTAAGTAGAATTTTAAATTACGATAATGTAAGACATATCTTTTACGAGGTAAAAATGTTGATACAAGTTTTTCTGATGATGATGGTTTAGTTCCTTGCATGTTGAGCTGATGAAAGAGATTAAGAGTGTATGGACTCAACATATTTTTATCAATTTTCATTCGATGAGGGGCCATTGGGAAATCATTATGAAGCTCATGAAGAGATTCAGGGTAAATAAGATCGAGTTCTAAAATATAACCATCATCAGCATCATCTTCTGTATTGATAATCATTTGAATCAACTCAAAGTCATCCGACCAATTGAACCACTTGTAAGAGCTAAACGGTAATACGTCAATCATCGCACTTCCATAAAGATTATTAACATCAAAGTATAATAAATGAATTTGATCACCGCCATCGTAACAAGGTGTCTTAGGATTATTAGCGATAGCATGACGTTTAGCAACAGTTGTGAATCCACCTCTAATTCCATTTTCAATCATTAATAACATATCAATTTGAGTGAAAAGTTCAATAGATATTTTCAACATCTTAAGTGCTGCAGCGAATGATAAACCAGGACAAGTCATATAATGAGGTGGATCGATTCCAAAATCACTTAAGCTTGTATCACGAAAGTTTTCAAAAACAGCTGCTAACATATAAATGTCTACTTTAGATACAAATCAATCAGATCCTAATTTTCACATTTGAATTGTGACCAAATTCTCTAGTCTTTGATACATTTCATCACTAATGTGAATCATTAAGAGATGAATAGAATAGCTCCTTAGCAGGGAGATTGCGTTCATCAAACTTATCAATTCCAGTTAGATATTCATATGGAAGAGTAGCTTTACCCATCAGATCTTTCAAATCAAGATCAAACCACTCTTGTTCTAGAAACTTTTTCTTGTCATCAATTGATAAGTTTTTACTCAATGTATCGAGAGAAGCAGGTAAAAATCCATAGGAATCTAGGAAGGCGAACTCATCCACATACCAACCAATGTATTTTTCCATAGTTGTGGGTATAATTTTGAGATTGTCGGAGAATGATGAGCTGTTGATTGTGTCAATGATAATGTGACCATCATAATTTTTCAAATTGTGGAATATAATTGGAATTCGCGATGGAATTTGATAATTAACATTACAGTTATTATGAGCGGCACCTCTGAACTCTCCAGTGAAATGATCATGATCAGCCACTGATCGTCCCTTAATGGTTTCTCACATATCCAACAGTTGATAGCATTTATCATTTCACCCTCAATTTCACTTGTCATCACTAATGGTTTTGAGCTTGTTTAGTGTACAAAGCAGCATTTATCGCTGACTTTTAAGATTTTCAAGAAAGTCAGGATCAAATTTTCACCATGTTTAAATTGTTTATCAATTTTTTTTGTTCCAATCAACAACAATGTAACCATAACTAAGGTAAATGAACAAATGGTTTCTTAGGATCGTTGGTTGGAACATTAAGACACTCAAAGTCACAATAAACGATGATCGGGTGTTTGACCTCTTTTTAAGATCTTTACGTTCGCAAAAGTTCCTTCTTGGTTTATTTTCAGTTGGAAATGGCATGACAATTTTTTGCAGGTTTAGTTGAACAATCCATTAGATGATTGTCTAACTGCCATTGAAATCGAAACCAGAAAGACATCGCTCGCAATGAGCTCTATGCCACCCACTCCTTCGGTTCAAAAGTCTTTGAAAGTTGGAAATTGTATAGTAATGATCATCATACCAAAATAAACGGACATGGTGAGGAGCTTGTTTGTTACTCACTCGAAGTGGTACAACATACTTTTGATTTGTATCATATGTGAAAACACTTACACTTATTTCATTTTTCGATTCGAATTTGGTGATTTGATCAATGTCAACTTTGCCTCTGAACTTCTGGAAGTTGTGACGGTTTATTAAATTAGTATATTGGGTTATTCTTGATGGATGACTCGGATTGTAAATACCACATAAAACACTGTACATGAAACAATCATTGTCACATTCGATCGTTATAATACACTTTTTGCTTATCAATTCCTGGGGTAACTTATTTGCAAAGCAACCTCCGCGATGTGGTTTATATTTTGCAATCCAAATAGTCATCTCAGGAATGTCCATTATCCAGAAACCACTACCCTTTTCAGTGAACTGTTCGATTATCTCTTTCATTTCCAAGAAACTTTCATCTATAGAATGAAGAATATCAGTTGCTGGTAATAGTGATTTGAATATTGATGGAATATTTGTTTCGACTACTTCATCCATACCCACTTTTTGGAACATAACATTTAAGAAAATCATGTATTTTACAGGACCTAGTTCCTGTAACGATGAGAAGTAGATTATACAGTTGAAGTTGTATCCTCTTTTTCACAAGATCTATGTCAATTAATCCATCTAACTTGCGTTGATAAACACGAAAAACTTTACGGAAGGCTGAATGTTTAAGAGTAAATGATGATAATGATTCTGATGGTCTAGGTAATTCCATAAGTGATTGTGATGAACATACATTTTTATGGGCATTGAGTCTGTATCTGTTGGAAAAATAATGTCTACAGGATGGACACTTGAATTTCACTTTTTCTTTGTTTTTTGTTGGCTTAACTTTTTTAATATCACTGATAATTGATTCTTGTTGGAGAAAAATGTCCATTCGTCTATCATCTGTTGAACTACACTCATGAGATAAATAATCGATCAATATTTCAGCTTCAAATTGACAACTTGGACAAACAAAAGAGTCCTTAGATTTTTTAGCTGGCGATTGCTCAAAAATGTCCATTCTTTTACAATTACCCACACAACAATGATGAGATAAATAATCCCCGAGGTTAGAATATGAATGAAAGCAACAAGTGCACTTCATAACCTGAAAATAGATAATTAGTTATACATTAAAAAATTACACGATAAATGAATGAGAAAGAAGATTAAAATTGATTTCAATATTTAATAATTTTTTAAATAAAACTTCCAGTGATTTACACCTCTTTTCAATACAGAAATGGTTTCATTAATTCTTGATATAACAATAAAGTTTTTAGAATTTTTAACTAATTTTCTTTTTGCTCTTTCAAGTTTGATTATTTTTCCATAGAGTTCGATAATTTTAGATTTAACTCTTCCTCGCATTACAACTTTCCTCACTCGCCTTCTCTATCGATAAACTCTTCCCAAAGTCGCTCGAATCGCCCTCCGTCCAATTCCATAGGATCAAAGAATAGTTATCTATGTTGTATCTATTCATAATTTGTTCAAACTAAAACAAAAATTAAATATTAAAATCAATTTAGGTAGAAAAGATAAACTTACTTCATGAGATAATTCCATTTTCTGGTACAGTTAGCTTACAATTAGATCCCCAAACACTAGAAATAATGAAACATGAATGAGAAAAAACTTTCAAGATCTCGGGTTTTATATCATCCTTGACCGTTAAATTTATCATTTGAATTACAACCACTCACCGTGCATCATTTAATTTGAGGCGGAGCTTAACCTCTGCAAGTTTTTCCCGAGCTGATTTATGTATTTTATGATCAATGATTAAGTCTGGTCTAAAATACCCTCGAATGGAATGATAATATTGAGTTACATCTTCCACATTGCTATTCCATGTAGAAAAACAATAATCTATTTGTTTAACTGTAAACAATTGTTCATATTTTTT